CATTGCTCAACTTTTGCAACGCGTAGCGACTCCCACAATGCAGTTCGGCAAAGCGTGACATCACCCCATTCAAAGTGAACGGGCAGAAGCGTTGAAGCTTGCCGGTGGGCGTGTCTGAAACTCGACCAACAACCAATCACATGAATCTCCCGCCCCGGACACACAAGCACGCGGTTTGATTGGCTAGAGCTTGCACTGGCATATGATTTGATTGGCTGACGCTTCCGTCGAGGCGGCAAAAGTAGAACATTGCTCTACTTTTGCAGCGAGCACCGCGAGAGAAGCTACGCTTTGCTCCCACAATGCAGTTCGGCGAATCGTGACGTCACGCCATTCAAAGTGAACGGGCAGAAGCGTTGAAGCTTCAACGCACGCCGCCGTGTGGACGGGCTGTAAGAGTGTCTATCTTTTTTTGTGTTTCAATTTTTTGAAAATAAAGTATTTACTTATACTTGACCTCTGTCTCCCGGGTCGTGCATTTGAGTCCTTTACCTTGTGTATCCAAGTTCGTGACACACTTCCTATGTGCCTGCTGTGACCTAAGGCCTACACTAATGATTCCTAATGGACATATAATATCAAAATATGTATAAAGTTTCAACTCAGTCCAAACTTTGTAACACAGGTTTTAAAAGTTTGACTCCTCAAACACACTTTTTAATAATGTAAAAAATATCAATATGCCTGAAATTGTTAGTATTGATCTGTGTGAAAGTTTGATTTCCCTCAGACTACCTGATCCATATCTGGGTCTCTCAAACTTTTTTATCATGTTTGCAAAGTTTGTGTTAACCCTTAAAGGATGGACAGCTTGGATTACTGCTTGGGTCTTGTTTTGTAATAGTTTTATTAATTATTTTTCAGGAATAATAACATTGTACTCACCAAGTTGACGGCTGAGATCTGGAGAAAACATGGGAAACATGGGAAAGAACTGTTAATCCAGATCTTAATGACTTTTAATCAAAGGTAAAACAAGAGGTTCAAAGTAGAAACAAGAAGTGAATCTGTATGTGGTAATGGATTTTTAAAAACAGACAGTTTTGGGTCAAATTATTTATTTTTTGTTGTAATTTTACCACATTCCCATATCTCAGCAATACCCTGGTGGGTGCAATTTTATAATTACTGATAGAAAAGATGGTGAAACAACAAAAATGCAACTAAGGTTGTAAAAAAACATGGAATATTCTATAAAAGTTGCATAAAGGGGCATGAATGAAACATTACATTTACTTGCACATCTCAACACATTCTCTTGCACTATTTTAACTATTTATTGAATTGTTTTATGTCCTATATATATTCATGCTACTCTGTTGGAGGAGCCTTTGACTTCAGTGTTTCATTGACATAATTACACTGTAGCTAATGTGCACATGACAATAAGGCCTTGAATTGAATTGAATTGAATTGAATACAGAACATCCTGATATTTAATGTAACGTTTATTTAATTTCAACTGAATGCTATTTTGTCAAGTTCATTTTCAACATTTTACTTGATACCTCATACACAAAATATCCTAGAAAACATGTCAGCATGACTTGTTAATGTGAATGTATTTGGCAGTGAGAGTAAATGGACCCATCTGTACCTGTGTGAGCAGGTCCTGTGATTTCTCCAGAGCGTGGGGCAGCTCTCTGCAGCGCGTCGACAGGTTGAGGATGGCCGTGGCCGCCATGTGCGCCGCCTCCATGTCGTGAGTGTAGTCGAAGCTGCTCTTACTGCAGGTGCTGCTGGCGCTGCTTCCTCCTGCTCAAAGGCAAAGGCAACGGTATTGTCAATCTTTGTTTGTGTGTACAGACAGAGAGATGGAAATACCGTTTCCCACAATCCCGAATGCAAAAATACAAATATATGTAACAGTTGTAAATATGCAGTGGTGTTTATTGTTAAATATTTCTTTGTCAGTCATTTAGTATAATCACACAAATTCTGTGTTTTGTATTTAAAAATTCTGTGTTCTTTATTTATTAAACGTTAAATACCTGACTGATCTAGAATCAGTGGGCGGAACCTCCAAATTGTAGTCACTGTACTCAGAAGCTTATTTGTATGGGGACTTCCCCTCTTCATATTGTGTCCCTGACATTTTCCTCTGCCCTTCTTGTGAATGTTCCACGTGAGAAGAGTCAGTCTGAGGGACAACTCATTCAATACTGATTTGTTGTATATTGTCTCTGTCAGTAAATAAACGGAGATCGCCTCAACGGTATACTGGCTCGGGTCTCATCCTTCAACAACACAAAACACAACGCAGACACCGCCAATCGACACCGGTTACATCTATATCAAAATATATATTTACCTATACCTCCCCCTCCCCCTCCTCCTCCTCCTCCTACTCCACAGCTCAGACTGCTGCTGCTGCTCGGGGCGTAGCTGCTGGTCGTACTGCTGGTCGGGCTCGATGTCTTGCAGTAACGCTTCACTGTACGGAGAAACACACGTACAGCAATATGGATTACTACAACGCCTCTACTGGGACATGTCTCCACGCTTTGATGTTCAAAAAGCTCTTTATTTCTCTCATACTGTCTGTGCTGCAGCACCTCTTTTCACCCTCTGTCTGAAACCAGAGCCCAGTCTGCTCTGATTGGTTAGCTCTGTTGTGATTCGGTCAACCTCTTAGAGATGTCCCGCCCCCTTAGTATATCACCTACAGTTCCCCCCCCCCTGTTTATTTGTTAATAAATTATTCGTTTTAGTTTTTACAAATAAATCTTTGGTGGGTGTCCAATCTGTTTGGAGGCGCTAGTCAAAAGGAGCGTGAGTGTAGGCAAAGTGATGTACTATGTCCAGGAAAGTAAACAAAGGAGGTCAATTGGAGGCAGGCAGGGATTTTGAACCTTTGCAGACAACTCAACTTGCACTAAAAACCTTGATAACACACTACTAGAAAGGGAACACCCCAAAAACCATGAACAGGGGCCTGCTTTAAGTGTAAGTCTTTGTTCGTTCGACAGGATGACAAATGAGCGAGAGTTACCACGGTGATGTCCACTATGTCCCGGAAGTAAGACAAAGAGTCCAATGGATGGCGTTCAGGCAGGATTTGAACATTTGCAGACCATTTACATGCACTAAAACCTAGAGAACACCACTACATGCATCACTTTCAATGCAAAATTAAATAAACATTACATTCAATATCAGGATGTTTATTCTTTCATATTTAGGCTATTCTGTATTTTAAGAAATCAAAAAAAGGTATTGTTAATTTTTCAAAAATAAACGAAATATTGAACAGAGGAAAGGATTTAAGGAGAAGTGATTGTGTTCTGGGTTGAGAGTGGAGAATGGAGGATGGAGGGAATGTGGAAACGAGGGAGATAATGGAGGCGAGCCCTGTTTCTTTGGCTTCCAGCCATTAGTGAGACGCAGGCGATGAGGGAGGCTTTTTTAGACGAGGCTGTCTGCGTTCCCCTCCATCCGACTCCAAAAGCATCCCTCCAGATCTCCTCCAACCAGAACACAACCACTTCCTTTTTCTTTGTCCTTACATCCTTATTTCTATCCGTCATAAAGATGTACAAACAAAGGACTTACACTTAAAGAGGCCCTATTATGCTTTTTGGTGTTTCCATTTCCCTCTAGCGTGTTCTATAGGTTTTAGTGCATGCTAAATGGTCTTCAAATGTTAAAATCTCTACCCTCCCTCCTCCCTTCCCCTCCCTCCCTCCCTCCTCCATCCTTGGCTCAGTATTTTCCACACTCTCACTCTAGCCATGTGGAGAGGCGGAAAAACACCTGCGTTCTTCAGCGCTTCACAAAGAGAATACACGAGTGACTGAGCGTGGTGTGTGTGTGTGTGTGTGTGTGTGGTGTGTGCCTGTGTGTGTGGTGTGTGTGTGTGTTGTGTGTGTGTGTGTAGTTGTGTGTGTGTGTGTGTGTGTTGTGTGTTGTGTGTGTGGTGTGTGTGCTGTGTGTGTTGTGTGTGTGTCAAGGTACAAAATGTTCTCTAATATACGGAAAACAGAGAAATCCTCGATAGTGGAATTTCTTCTTGGCAGGTTTTATTCCCAGAGTCTACGGCAAATGAGTTTCTACTCACTGTTTTTATATGCTTGCATTTATAAGAACAATAATAATTAAAAATAAAGCCTTTTTTTTACGTTTGCCAAAAAGAAATAAAAAGGAAAGATAAGTCTGAGAGTAAATCTGATTCCT